GGGGGGGGCGGAGAGTTAGAGAAGAGGCAAATGCAGCCTGCAACTAAAATCTTTAATCGAAGCCATGCGAGTGTGCCATTGCCTGTCCTCTCCGATAGAGTCCGACCGGTGCCTTGGTAGCACGCTGGTCTCCTGGTTTGACTGAAAACACAAAAACCCGTCCTCTGATGCAGGCGTTTGTTTTTTGCGAAATTGTGTGAAACTACTGAGAGTGGAAAAAATTATTCTGTAGGGCACTACTCCGAACTTCGCTAATTCTACTCTATTCGTGGCCGCACTTTAGTACAGAACGCTCTGTTCCATGCAAGGACCTATATCTCCTGGAGAAAGAGGAAACAAGTTGACAATTTCGTCAGAAATCCTCAAAGTTGCCTTAGGATCATGACTCAAGTGAAAATTTTAAATAAGCAAGGTACCGTAATAATTAATAATGATCTTGGCAGCATTTTATTTATAACGCAACACCTTCAGCTTTGCACCCTTTTGCCTATTTTTTCGCTGGGAAGCTGTTTCATATTTATTTCACTTAACACCTGATAAACATTCAGCACGAATGCTATTGTTTACTACGAAGAAACTATTACCTTATCCAGGCGACCATTCCTCTAAAAACTAGCATCATAACTACAAGTGCTAGAAAGTTAATCAAATTGCACCTCTGGTCCACACGAAAATATTGAACAAAATGCCGATGTTTAACGTATTGCAAGCATTTTCATAAGCCAAGAATGTGTCAGGAGAAACAGAACGCATCGGCCACAGAACTGGCTTATTACCCTATCACCGGAGTCAGGTAGCTCAAAGTGCAATTACATCAGAGCGAACGGGCTATCATCTTTCCTGGCATAGTTCGACAAACCTGTTCCTTCAAGTATATAGGTCTTTCGGATCGTCCGTAAGCATCGCAAATACACTCACATAAGGCCACAGGGCGGCCACCTGTTCAACCTCTAAGGAAAACGAATAACTTTCAAGAGCTGCTGCAAAACGGCTCAGGAATTATAGCGGACGTGGTGTTCGGATATTAACCTGATTGCTCGTCAAATGAATATACAAACTGTTAGGGGGCCGAACACGTCACCCAGACGTCAGACAGTACGAGGTCACG